TATCTGGCTATGATTCTCACTTGTTTATAAAGAAATTGTCAGAAGGAGGAAAATCAGAAGGAGGAAAATCAGAAGGAGGAAAAATAAATTGTATACCCAACAATGAAGAAAAATATATCAGCTTTTCTAAAGAACTTAAAGTAAATGAATTTATGAATAGAGAAGGTAAAAAAGTTGAAGTTAAACTGCATCTACGTTTTCTAGATAGTTTTAAATTTATGGCTGCTAGTTTAGATAGTTTAACTAAAAATTTGTCAAAAGATCAATGTAAAAATATTAGTAGATACTATTCTGGAAATGAACTCAATTTATTGTTAAGAAAAGGTGTTTATCCTTATGAATGGGTTGACTCTATTGATAAATTAAATGAAACACAATTACCACCAAAAGAATCATTTTATTCAAGATTAAATGATGAAGGAATAAGTGATGAAGATTACTTACATGCTCAAAATGTATGGAAAGAGTTTCAATGTAAAACATTTAGAGATTACCATAATTTATATAACGAATCTGATGTATTACTACTAGCTGATGTCTTTGAAAATTTTAGAGATGTCTGTTTTAACAATTACAAATTAGATCCTGCTTGGTACTATACAGCACCAGGATTAGCTTGGGATGCTGCTTTGAAAATAACAGAAGTAAAATTAGAATTATTAAGTGATTATGATATGATCTTAATGATAAAGGAAGGAATAAGAGGTGGAATTAGTATGGTTTCTAACAGGTTAGGAACTGCTAACAATAAATATATGGAAAATTATGATGAAAGTAAAGAATCTACTTACATACAGTATCTAGATGCAAACAATTTATATGGGTGGGCAATGAGTAAACCACTTCCTACACATGGATTTAAATGGATGAATGATAAAGAATTAAAAAATTGGAAATTTACTTCTTGCATATTAGATGTAGATTTAGAATATCCTGAACATTTACATGATGTTCATAATGATTATCCTCTAGCTCCTGAAAGATTAAAAATAGACAAAGTTGATAAATTAATACCTAATTTAAATCATAAGAAAAATTATATCATACACTATGAAAATCTTAAACTTTATGAAAGGTTAGGAATGAAAATAACAAAAATTCATAGAGGAATAAAGTTTGAAGAAAGTGCATGGTTGAGTAAATACATTGAACTCAATACAAATCTAAGAACAAAAGCAACAAATGACTTTGAAAAGGACTTTTTCAAACTTATGAACAATTCAGTATTTGGAAAGACAATGGAGAACATTGAAAACAGAGTTGATGTAAGATTAGTTACAAAAAGAGAAGAAGCTATTAAATTATCATCAAAACCAAATTATGAAAGTAGAACGATATTTGATGAAAATTTAATAGCTATTCATATGAAAAGAACAAAGCTTGTATATAACAAACCTATTTACTTGGGTATGTGTATTTTAGATTTGAGTAAAACACTAATGTACGAATTTCATTATGATTACATAAAAAATAAATATGGAGATAAAGCTAAACTTTTATATACAGATACAGATTCATTAATCTATGAAATAAAAACAGAAGATTTTTATAAAGATATTTCTAATGATATTGAAAGTAAATTTGATACAAGTGAATTTAATAAAGATCATCCAGCTGTTCAAAATGGATTTAAAGTTGGAACAAATAAGAAAGTATTGGGAATGTTTAAAGATGAATCTGTAGGAAAACAAATTACAGAGTTTATTGGACTCAGATCAAAGTTGTATTCTTACAAAATAGATGAAGAAGATAAAAAGAGATGTAAAGGAGTAAAGAGAAATATAGTAAAAAATTATATAACACATGAAGATTATAAAGACTGCCTGCTTAGCAGGAGAAATCAGATGAGAAAAATGAATGTCATAAGATCTCATTTACATGATGTTTATACAGAAGAAATTAACAAAATAGCACTCAGTGCAGAAGATGATAAAAGAGTTATTTTAGATGATGGAATTCATACCCTAGCATACGGACATTATAAATTAAAATAAACATATATGTAAGTAATTTTTTTATTTAAAAAATCTTAAACTATTAATAAAAATGAATAAAAGAATCAATGTTGAAGGAATCATATTACCAAATGTACCATTAACAAACTTTCAGTTAATAAAAGCAGTAAAAAAATTAAAAATTAAAAATTTTAAAGGTGTATTTGTAAGAGATGAATTACCTAAAAATACACAAAAAAAAGAATGTGGAATATTAAATACTGGAGATTCAAGTACAGGTGGATTTCATTGGATTTGCTGGTATAAAGACGGAGATATGAAACTAAGTTTCGACTCTTATGGCCTACCACCACCAGTTGAACTCGTTCAATACTTACACAGTCCTGTTTACTACAATACTGAACAAGTTCAGTTTGGAAATACTTCCTATTGCGGGCACTTGTGTCTCTATGTCTTGAAAAAACTAAATGATGGAAAAGAATTTCAAAACATCATCAATTCACTTTGGTGAATCTTAGATATATTATAAAAAATAAATTAAATAATAATGAGTATATAAAATGAGTATTAATATATTCGGTAGTAGTTCAATGAATGGATTATCTGCTTTTGGTAGCACATCAGGTGGCAGTTTAAATCTAAATATTAATGTAGACAATAAAGCAACTTCAGACGTTGATATAAATACACATAAAATAATAAATTTAGTTGATCCTACTAATGCACAGGATGCAGCTACAAAGCATTATGTAGATAATAATCAGATTTCTAGCAGTTCCTATCTAAAAATAGATGGAGCTAATAGTATGAGTGCTAATATAAATTTGAATTCACATAAATTGATTAATGTAGTTGATCCTACTAATGCGCAGGATGCAGCTACAAAGAATTATGTAGATCGCTTAATTCCTTATCAACATAAATATAAAGTTTTGATTATAGCTGGTCAATCAAATACATATGCTGGTAGAGAATGGGGTTTATCTCAATCAATAACTAATGTAAATTATATGAACAGACGAATAGTCCAATTTGCGATGGATAATGGACAAAATGATGTGTTACTTCCTTGTTCATTGAGGCTAGATGTAAATGAAACAGATAATAAATGTTGGGCAGGATATGGTTCAATACTTGCTGGACTTATAATGCAAGACGCTGTAGGTGCAAATACATTAAATATGATAAATCCAGATGAATGCTTAATGATACTTCCATGCATGCTAACTGCTAAAAGTTTCAGTAATGATTATTTTATGCCGTATGGAATTGGTTTTAAAGATTTAACTCGTAGAATTAATTACATTTCATCACATTATAACGCAGAGTTTTGCTGTATGACTTGGAGTCAAGGAGAAGACGATTCTATAACTGGTTGGTGTGATAACTATGCATATATTCTAATGAATTTTATACAAACCATTAGAGATTACATTGCATACTCATCAAACCAATTTGATACATTGCCAAACTCACAAATAAAAGCAAATAAAATGCTATTCATTACATTTCAAATGCTATCTTCATGGGTTCAAGCAAACTCAACTACAGCAACTCAAGTTCAAGATGCATTAAAAAATATTATAAATTATTCTCCATATACAGCTAGTATATCTCTAGATGGTATGCCTCCCAATCTAAGGAGTGCAAATTTCGATGGAGTACATTATGATTCAAGACAACAAATATTTTTAGCAAACAAATTTTTTGAAGCAATACCATTTGCAATGAATAATATATATGGTGGTGGCTATGGAACACCATATAATCCTGGAGAAGTATTATTAGTTAGACAAGTTGCTGGATATTTATTTCTTAACAATTATTATAGCGCCTATAGAGTATTTAATTCTACTCCATCTACTGCTCAATTATATAGTACATTATTTACTAATTGGCAGTATAAAAACAAAGATGGCTATTATAAATATAGACTTAAATATAAAATTAATGATGTATGGAATAGTATTATATTTAAACAAGCATTCCTTCCAATGATGTCTATGGCTTACCAAAATGTTGCACAACTCATATCAACAGATACACCATTTGGATGTACAGAATTAGGACAAGGATTTTGCGGTTTAAATTTGACAACTACAAAAAGTATGATGAATTCTGGAGCAGTACTTACACTAGATACAAGTGGTGGTTATTGGGCACCTGTATGTCAAAATATAAACTATTTATATAATGGACGACCTGCTATGCCTATATTTGATAATTATATACAAAATAGTACTCTTCCATTTGTAGCAACAGAACTAGAATTATATGCTATAAGAGATCCTTTATAATATTATTAAGACAATTCTACTACGCATAAGCGCTACTACGCGTAAGTAAATCCCAGCGCATGCGCACTGAGCAGAGCATAAGATCAATCTGAATATCACGTGACGTCATGCAATAATTTTTCGTAACATTTCATAACAAGAAATAAAAATTAACACTTATTTTAAAAAATCAATTTTTTTAAAATAAAAAATTATTTCTTATCTAAATAAATTATATACAACATGGTTCAATGTTAACCTCAATATTAATATTAATTTATGGTTGAAAATTTGGTTGAAAATGAAAATGAGCAAATACCGGGCAATCTCTTACTACTTTGAATGCTGTTCAGAGTAGATTCTGTTGCGGAATGTCTATACGCGAAAAATAGTATAATATATCAATTGTTAATAACCATAGCAATCCAACGAATTTCTTTAATTTCTACGTTTTTCTACGTACTTATTTTTCTTTTCTTTTTTTTTTAACTTTATTGTATAAACAGAAACCATAACTTAGATAACACTGCTGATGTAGAGTACAGAGTATTACGACTTTTTAAGAGAAAGTATTAAAATTATAAACAATTTATAAATAATTTACGGCAACCAATAAATAAAATAAAGTTTATTGAAATATTGGTTCAAACATTTTTATGTGCCATAGTTGCAACTAAAGAAGATTCGTAATAAGCTGTTTTTTTGTATTACCTGATTTATAATTTTGAATTTGATTATATAAAATTATAGTAAATTTTAAAATGTTTAGATCTTCCTTGTTCAATTTGGTGGTCAGGCATTTTCAGCTTCACCGTTGAGTTTGAATCAATGGGTGTGTTGTATATTTATTGGTGTTTGTGAGTTGCTGTGGGGGCAGATAATTGTGACAATACCAACTGCGATCAAATTCAAAGAGAGAAAGAAAATAATTTTTCATAAGTAATACAATGCTTTTTTTTTAACTTTTTTAATAAAAAATCATTGAACGTGTACTTGTACTCGTATATTTTTATACGCATTTGGTATCTACACGTGCATATTATTTAAATCCGTAAATTTTTAAAAAGCACATATTTTATTCACACATATTTTTATGCATATAATATTTTTACTCACATATCAATAGAAATATACGCATTGTTAACATTTGGATTTGCATTTTATTTATACAGAAGTATGATTATTTATACTGACATGATTTTGTATATAAGATTATTTATTTCAGTTTAATGTAATTTTTATGGAGGATATATTTTAGAAAATCAATTAGAGTTTTGTGAAAGAATATTTTTGTTAGAAAAACGTTTAGGGTTTTTTTAAGAAAAAAAAAAACGGTTACGGTTTTAGTAAGAGCTTGGGATGAGGTGTTTTTTAAGATTGCAACTTTTGAATTCATTAACTAGGCGAGTTTTTATTTGTTTTTTATGCTGAAATTTTGATAGGTTTTAAGTGTTTTTTGTTCTATTTGTTGTATTCGGATTGGTATTCTGTACTTTATTGCAATGTTTACTTGTATTTTACTTTATGTTGTTAACAGTTGATGTTAACAGTTTATTATTATTATTATTGATATTATTATTGTTCTTATTATTATTATTATTATTATTGTTATTATTATTATTGATTTTGTTTTTTGATTTAATGTTTTGGTTGAATTTTTTGAAAAGAAAATTTTTTAGATTAGATTAAAAAGAAAAGAAAATTGCATTTTTATATATTTAAGTCATTTTATCATTTAAATAAATATTATATCTAAATGAATATAAATTATAGAAATTTCTATTTGTTTACATATTCAAAAAAAAAAGGGATACACTACAGTTTAAAATACTTCTGTCGGCGTTGGTATTATTTAGTCCAATATAAAAATAACTGAGTAGGCATCTATGGTAAAATTTGAATAACGTCAACAGACTGTTAATCATCAACAGCTGACGTTACTCAAAAACATCATTTTTAAATAACGTCAATAACAGTTATTGACGTTATTTCATTTTACTCTAATTTTATTATTTGGTGCTAAAAATCTCAATGTTATTCTTAAAAAGCTCTGGGAAAGTGATAATGAAATAATTGGTTTAAATTGTTTCATATTGATGTGAATCAATCGTTGGAATTTATACTAAGACATACAATTATACAAGTGTTTGTAATTTTTTTTTTTTTTATTGTTGTCATTTTTTTTTTATTTATTGATACCTTTTTTCTTTTGAAAAATGTATAATTTTAGAAGGTTAATAGCATGGTTTCTTTACATATTACTTACATATAAAAAAGAAGGGACATACTATATTTATATTTATACTATTACAATGTTAGAATGTATCATGTACATGTGTATATGATACATTGTAACGACTACTTTTGAGAGGACTATTTATGCGGCAAAATAGGTGTGCAATATAAAACAACTGTTGTAATTCAGAACAAATTCAACCATGTGAGCTTAAATAAAGTCAAAGTAGTTAACATCTAAGTAAATCCCGAGATATCCCGAGATTAGTTTCCGTAATTTCCCGGGATTTCGGGATCGTCAAAAAAAGTAAAAGTTAATAAAGTTTAACTTTATAATTGTAATTAAGTAATTAGTACTTCGCCTTCAGTATAGTAGCTATTTGGTTGAGTAACTATTTTCTTTGCAATGTTTTCGTTGGAATGTTAAAACTCTCTCTTCTGTATTTTATTAAAAACAAAAAGTCAAAACATCATTGCATGTCTGCAAAATATGTACGATAAAACATGTATAAATATATATATATATATATATAAATATATATATATATATATATATATATATATATATATATATATATATATATATATATATATATACATATATATACACACACACATACATACATAACTAGTATATTATAATCAAATAAATTAAGTTTAAGCGCTTGCTGGTTGAAAGAGCAAGCGCTTGTTTTTATAAGAAGGTATACCTTAGTTTAATTTTGAATTTTCTGCTTCCAAAAGTTTGGGCGATTGTAATTTTAATTTATACCATTCATTTAATTTCGAACGTGTGCGTGATTCAAATTCCATTTTTATTTCCATTAATTTTAAATTCAAATACGCGCGTGATTAACGACAGTTTTTTTAAAGTCAATTTAAGTAAATTAAACTTATCAAAAAACAGAAGGTTTATTAAATAACAAAATTTTCTTAGCTTCCGTTTAATTAATGAAGTCATGCATATTTATATTACTTTTCAAATATTTTTATTTATACTGTCTCCATTTTAAGGTATTGTTTTATAATTTGAAGTACTTAGGTTCATTAATTTTTAAAAGTCGTACTTTTAATATAACAAAATTAAGCTAAAACATGTTTTTAACTTAATTTTACGTTCAAATGTATTAAACATTTTAGTTATATTATTATATAAAACTATCATTTTAATGAGTAGTTAAAAAGTATTCAATTAAATTTTTTTCTATTCAACCCCGGGATTTCCCGGGGACAAATTTCTCAATCCCGAAATACCGTGATTGAAAATTTCCGGGATTTTAACCATCTCTAGTTGCTATCTGGGTAACGCAGTTTTTGTGGCTATTGATATTTCTACGATATATCGTTAGTTACCAATTATAGCTTTTTAGCTAGCTACAACATAATGACAAGTCTGTTTCTATTTCAAAGCTAGATTTCGCAGCTTTGTAGCTCGTAGATATGTAGCTAACTGTAATAAACAACAAATCTAAAGCAACTTGGTTGCTTATTATGATCGGAGTAACGTATCTATTTTTTGACTTACTTTACGGTGTAGTAAATGGCGCTTTATAAATTATTCAAATTTATTTCTATGGAATTTGAATAATTTTATCAGTGAATTATGTCAAAACGAGAGCTTAAGATGCTATGATTGTTTTTGCTTAAAGTTTTAATGTTTAAAAAAACCTGTTTCGTTTTTATATAATTTTGTATAACCCCTAATTGTCAATGTAAAGAACACCATTTTAGAACTTATCGGTCGATTCTGCTCAGCAACGTTAACTTAATTTTAATTAAAATTCTTTAAGAAAGTGCCTAAATTTACTTAAAGATCCTAGCTCTAATCTGTTCTAGTGCATATTAATGGTCAAAACGCAACATTATCAATTTGCACAAAAAATATTTGAATTCCGACCAAGAAAGAGCTTATAATAAAGAAAAATAGCCGATAAACGATTAGAACAAATAATATTAAACTATGATGTTCATGTTACCGGTGATTTTAATTATAACACGATTGATTGATCCGAAATTAATTATCCATTCTCTCCTACTGAGGGTGATTCTCAAGCTAATAAATTAATAGACTCGATAATTGCTTCTTATATTGATGCGTTAGTAATCTTACCAAAAAGCAAACTTTGAATCAAAAAATATTTTGAATTTTCTAATTACTAATAATAATAAAAAAACTTTGTTCTATTTGTTCACTCATCTCCTTTATGTAATGCAAAACAAGGTCATCATTTATTAAAATGCAATTATATACTAAAGAATCTAATCTGGGTAATAAACTTACGAAGCCTATAATATTGTATCATAAAGGTAATTACAAATCATTTTCAAAGTATATTGACAACGTCGATTGGGTTAAGGAATTTAACAAGAAGTTAATCAATGAACAATATAAATTGTTTCTGTTTAATTACAATTATGCGTCACAAGAATATATTCCGGTGATTAAAAACTAAAAAACTAATTTTTAAAAAAGAGAAAGTGAAGACTTGTTCTAAAACAATGCAGTTTTTCATATCCTCTATTTCATATCCTCTTTATTTTATATTTAAAAAATCTATAGAAGATTGTACTATACCTGATATTTGGAAAAAGGCTAATATAACGCCTATATTTAAACAAGGAAGCAAATTGAAACCAACAATTTACAGACCAGTATCTCTGACGTCAATATTTTGTAAAATATTAGAAAGAATAATTGTTGATAATATAATCAAACATTTAATAACAAACAAGCTATTAGCATACAGAACAGCTTTCTGAAAAGTAAGAGCTGCGCAACAAATTTACTAGAATTTCTTGATACCTTGACAGGCGCATTGTTAAATGGTATTTCAATTGATGTTTTGTATACCGACTTTCAAATATCGCAGACAAAACTATGTGCTAAGGTTTATGCTTCTGGTATTTCTGGTATGCCTTTTAAATAGATTTTGGTGCAAGTAATAAAAGATATTCTTATTTCATGAAAAATGATGGCAAACTAAAAGAAATTGAAAAATCTACTCTATAAATCTAAAAAGATTTAGACATTTACATATCTAAGGATTTGAAATGGGAAAAACAAGTAAGGAATGCTGCCAGTAAGATAATATTAAAGATTACTTTTAAGTATAAAGATAAATATCTTATGAAAATGCTTTATTGCACGAAAGTTAGACGTCATTTGGACATTGCTTGGAATCTTGGAACCTCTATTACAAAAAAATTTCAAAGAACTTAAAAACGTTCAGAGAAGAACCACTAAATTGATACCAGAATTAAGACATCTGGGATATAATCAAAGACTAAAAATATTAGATTTAACAACTTTAGAAGTTCGAAGACTAAGAGGTGACCTTATAAAACAATATAAGTTATATAAAGGTTTTGAATCTATTGATATGAAGAAAGTCCAGATACAAATACATTCAATTAATACACCAGATCCACCATCCAGTATAAGACAAACATCGTGTTAAATCAGAGTTTGTTAAATATTGTTTAAGTAGACAACACTTTAAATTGGGTTGTCTTTGGATGGAATAGTTTACCAGAATCGGTATTGGAATCTACATCAGTCAAAAAATTTAAATCCAACCTTAAACTGATTGACATACAAATAATATTAAACAAAAACAAATTACAATTAAATTATGAGACAATTATTGTATTGGCGTCATAAATATTGCCTGGTGCTCTATCTAAACAACATTTGAATCATATGATATATTATAACAAAATTTATCACATTAATTTTTTTCGTCTTTTCATAATTCACAGACCTAATCATTTAATGGAAAATATGTTATAGTAAGCAAAATGTCATACAGACGCTATAATATTTTTAAATCACCCTAACTACACCGAGTAGTATATACAAAAAAAGGTCATTGTTTACTGACATTTGGCGACTACTGTTCCAAGTTTTTCACTAAAGTTTCTGTAGGGGGGTTAGACATCCTTACGCGTCCCCTTGAGACGTCCCTGCAGATATATATACAGTACTGTGAATATGTTTTAGACCACTTATATAATTAGTTGTATTTTTAATTTTTTTCCTGTGTATTTTTTTTTTAAGCATACTTAAGTTGAGTAATATTTGAGAAAGATTGAAAGAATATATTATCTTGAATAAAGAAACAAAAATTTATGAGGAACATGAGGGATATGTTTGTTTATTTATTAAAACGATAATTGTCATAATAACTGCAGACCAAGCGTTCATTTAAATAATACATAAAAATAATATTTTCAACTTTTTTCTTACTGGTTCAGGTTCATATTTGTTCATTTAAGTTTTTAACAGTATAAAATGTAGTCATAGAGTGAATTTAATACAATAATGATCGGTTTTGGTACATTTTTTAAAAAGTTGTTATTTTTTATGAATACAGTTAAACAAATAGTTAAAAATAATTAAATAAAGTTATTAGTTTACATTTTTAGATTAATATGGTGTTGCTATGGGTAAAATATCTTTAATAAAGTTACAGGGGTGGGACCGCAAAATGTGAACACTTTTCTGATTGTAATAATTAATTTTCTGTTAAATATGAACTATTTTAAATAAGAATGTCCAATGGTTGGACATTCTTATTTAAAATAGTTCATATTTAACAACTCTTTAGACACTTTTTGATGAATGAGAGAGTACAACTACATCTAACGAGAAAATAGTTATAATAAAACAAAAACGTTCACATTTTGCGGTCCCACCCCTGTATTGTGCTTCACAAAGAAGGTTATTCGCAGCGCCAAATTTCTTCCAAAACAGGATATTCGAAGACTGCTATTAGAGAAATCATTAAAAAGTTTAGAGAAACTGGCTCCCTTGGAAATAGAAAGAAAAGTGGCAGACCTCCTAAGCTAACAAAAGATGACGATAAATATTTAAAAACCCTTTCTTTAAGAAACAGGAAAAAAACATCCACCGAATTGGCAAAGGACATTAATACAGCAACTGGGAAAAATGTTAGCTCTTCTTGTATTCGACGACACCTACTCGTCGAAAACCTTTATTACGGCGTGGCAATAGAGAAAAACGACTTAAATATGCAAAACAACACAAAGATTGGACCCAGGAAATGTTTAATCGGGTTCTGTACACTGATGAGTCCAAATTTGAAATTTTTGGAACGAAAAGACGTCAATATGTTCGAAGAAGAATAGGAGAAGCCTGTCAGCCCGAGTGTTTAAACCCTACTATTAAACACGGAGGAGGCTCTTTACAAGTTTGGGGCTGTTTATCTTCTACTATTTGGGGTAGGTGATCTGATCAAAATAGAGGGACGACTCACCGGGGAACGTTATGTGGATATTCTAAGACAGTATGCTATACCATCCGGAATGAGACAAATGCGCCATAATTTTGTTCTGCAGCAGGACAATGACCCAAAATATTGTTCCCGAGTGGCAAAAAATTATTTAAATGAAATAGCAGAAGAAGGAATACTGGACATGATGACGTGGCCTCCCCAGAGTCTAGATTTGAATATAATCGAGCATATTTGGGATTACTTGGACAGGAAAAAGGTCGAACATGCTCCCCGAAATGCTGAAGAATGTTTTCAAGTACTTCAAAGAGAATGGCACAACATACCGCAGGATTTTATAACAAATTTGTATGAAACTATTTCCCGGCGAATATCGGCTGTGATTAAGGCAAAAGGACGACATAGTAAATATTAAGGGTTTTTTTATGAAGTGTGACATTAAAAAATTTGTTATTGTTGTTATTATTTTGTGTGAAATATATGTGTTTTAATAATTTTATAATATAGAATTCGAAACTTAAATATTAAGGAAGAATTCTCTTAGATTTTTTGAGAAAATGTAAGTGGTCTAAAACATATTCACAGTACTGTATATATATATATATATATATATATATATATATATATATATATATATATATATATATATATATATATATATATATATATATATATATATATATATATATTTGCAGGGATAATTTTCTTATTTATAAAAATATTGTCTCTAAAAAAATCAAATCAAGTTCCACAAATCAATTCACAAATTTTATCAAGCAGTTCACAAAGGTTTGGAAGTAGCAGTAAAATAAGTAAGCATTGCTACTGTTGAGTACCATGACTACCATCTTGCGTTACCTAATGTTTTTGGTAATACCAGTTTGCATTTCCCAATTTATATAAAAACTGCATATCGTTACGCTGTTTAAAGGCCAACAAGATATACTTTTATACAGTTAGGTGAAATGTGTTGGATAAACTCAAGCAAGTCACAGATTAAAAAAGCGTCACCTAACTTTCCTAACTTTTTTAATCTGAAAGATGAGTAATGCTTTTGCCGTGATGTGGTCAATCTTTTTGAGGCTATTTGTATTATACATTTCTAACTTATCACATTCGAGTGACCTGGATAAATTATTTATAAATTCTATTTATAGATAGTTCATCCAAGAGCCTTGAAGCCGTATTGCTTCACGAAAAAAAACAACTGTCCATTTTGATGTCTCTCTGTACATCTCAAAGAGGTATGCACCAGTTTCAAGATGACTATGGATGTGAGGTCATTTTAGACTCAAAATGGTATTATTTTTCATGGGCCTTCAACGCGGTTTCACAAGATTTTCTTCTTTCTTTTGTCTCCAAAACAGCCTAGATAATAATAAGTTGCACGACCACAGAAAAAACTGGCCACATTGAGTGGAATTCTGTTGACATAACCATATTGAGGTGAAAGCCGCTGACTGAGCCTCAAAATGCGCATCATATCATCCATTGCACATCAACTTGCTGTTGAAGAGCTGGCACATTTTACCTCCTTCAGACTTTTTTTAGAAGCTATTTAAGATTAGAGCCAACATTTTTACATGCTAATGAGACGAGTTTGCCAAACTCCATAACAGAAAGGAGACCGTGGCTAGAATAATTATCTTGCAGAAGTTCACGTCTTCCTGGGTAATCACAAGGCTGAAAATTATATTCCTTTGGTTGAGATACTCTTAAAAAACTATGCTGTAACGCGATGCAAAATGTCACTCAAAGTCCATATCATGATGCTTGTCTCGATAAATTTAAGGAGAACATATGAGCCTACTCAGAAGAACAAGAATTACGCTTTTATCAGGATTGGATTTTAAACGTCGTTATCAAAAACAGTATATAAGAAAATTATACAGCACTGAATTTCAGAGTTACTTTGTGATTGCGATTTACAGAGCTACTTTGTGATTGCGATTTACAGAGCTACTTTGTGATTGCGATTTACAGAGCTACTTTGTGATTGCGATTTACAGTACGCTCATTGATCATTATTCTACTCATTTTTGAAGTATTTTGGTTTTACCAAACCGAATGAGTAAAAATATGAGGGTTTTTTTTGTTCTGCATCAATAAAAAAGAATTCTTTATACTGTGGTCGAAAAAACAAATTTTTAGCTTAATGTAGTTGTTTTCTCATTTTCTTTTAATGTCAACAATTAAGTTATATGTAGTCGCAGGATGTTTGCAAAAGTCTAAAAATCAGTCTTGTCATCAGCTTTATACGATGTGAAATACACTCAAACGACTCAGTTCAATTTTTATTTAAAAGTGTAAAAATTGTGTTTCGCGCCACATATATATTCATGCGTGATAATATTATTTTAATTCATATTAATTCAAATTATTTTAATTCATATTAATTCAAAGTTTCGCGCCACATATATATTCATGCGTGATAATATTATTTTAATAATGTAAAAAATTTATTTTTCTGATCTTGAGATTTGTTGAAAGTTGGCGAAGAGCCAAGCATGTGGCTATTAAGCTCTTTGCCAATCAAAGGATAGCACCCATCATTATACTCTCTATGTAAAAATAAAAGAAATTACTCTATATGTAAAAATAAATCTCCTGGTGTACACATATATTTTTTAGTTAAGACTTTTGTTTTGAATAAAAGATTAGAGCTGTTGTTGTTGTTTTATGTTTTTTTTGTCATCTAACTTTCTGATTGATTTATACAATTTATAAAGCGATTTCTACATACAGAACACAGTTACAAGACAGCTGAAAAGTATGTAAATTTATCTTTTGTATTATGTGCTACAGAACCTGCATACCAATATGATCCATGGTTGGCAAGTTATAGATAGAAGGGATATGTCCATTGGTACCAATGCGCAAGAAGCACAAAATAAGAACTTAACGAAGTTTTGTGAATTATTTAATAGATTATTTTAAATGTTCACGTTTTAAAACAAATGAAGATTTGTTAAGACGACTGTGTATTTCTGACTCTTTGACGAGTAGTGTAAGAACAAACCTTTTTTTTTTAGAAAAATGATGTTAAAGATTGTGTTTAGTATTTTTGTGTATATTATTTGTGTGAATGCTTCTTGTAAATATGCACATTTTTTATTTTATAAATTATTTGTATTAACAATTCATCATACACTTTAGGTATTATTCACAAACTCTTATTTTATTAGCAATAACTATTGCACGTTAATTTTATTTGATCGCTAAGGGCATGTGAGCTAGATAACTACAATTAAAACTTAATTATTAATTTGAATTCATAGTAGGATTATCAAAACCCGGTTATTTATAGAGGAGAGCACAGTGAAAAACTGATTTTTTAATTAAGATTTGTACCGCGTTCTTTTACATAATCAACTGGATTTTGAAAACCCTTCTATAAACCCTAAGCGATTATCAAAGGTAATATAGCTTTTCTTTTTTTTTTAAATTACGTTGCACTTTTAAGAAAAATATAATCACAGGTTTCTAAGAGCCCTGGAAATGCATAGCAACAACCAAAAATCAGTAATTTGTTGTGTATGTAATTAACATCTTGTGCACTACTGTACTTTTTGCAACAAAAAGCACCACTCAACTATTAAATGATACCTAATAACAATAAAATTTAAAGAACGAATATTTAAGTAATTACCAAGACAAAGTTGAAAAGAGTTGAAAAAGAGCTGAAAAGAGCTGAAAAGATTAATCATCAAACAGAAAGCATTTTTTTTTCTATTAGCTTTTACAGTAAAAATAAACATATTTTATTTATTCAATTCTTCATTTGGTCAATTTAATTGCAAAAATAAATAAACCTATAGTAAAAAAAAAAATTATTTAAAATAAACACAAGGAATAAAAAATGATTACTTTAACTCGAACCATTCAAAATACATTTAAACAGTTTTAATAAAAAAAGTTACGAAGACTTTGGTTTTACTGTAGCACGTGACACATCGAAATTTATTTTAATATATCTACCAAACTAGATTGCACCTTCATGTATTTTGTCTCAAATACTTTATTTTATAAAAAATATATTGAATCAAAATAAAAAATTTGGCTACGGTCTGAACAAAAACTTTTATCAAAAAGTTTTACCAATTTGGTACAATTTTGTTTAACGCATTCATTGCAACCTCGTACCCGAGAAAACAAGCCTAAATGAAATGGAATAAATAAACCCCAAAATCCTTTGCTGTATCATTAAATTGAAAAGTAAGTATTCAATAAAAAATTACCGCATTAGCCGGAAAAGCTCTGAGCATTACGGGTGTCAAGCCTTTAAACAGAGATAAAAAACCTTCTTTACGAACCTATAACAAAAATAATTTTTTTCATTTTTTTAATTAAAAGTTTTAAAACTAACACACACACATTTATTAAAACAAATTTATTATTACATACCAGTGATGTAAATTTTCCAGTAAAATTTGATTCAAAATTTACCGGTAAATTTAAATAGAAGAGGGTAAATTTTTCTTAAAAAAATTTTTTTTTTCAAAAAAAAAATAAGAATTAGTGAAAAAAAAGTTCAAAATTTCAAAATTTTTCGGTAAATTTACCGGAATATTTTCCGATAAATTTTACCTTCGCAACACTATTTACATTCACCGTGAAGTGAATTTGATTTCAATAACCATCATTTAGTTGTATTAACATTGATTACCCAGGTCATTTTAAAAATCCGGAATATTGTTTGAATAAAATATTCGGAAAAAATCCGGAATATATATTCTTCTTAATTTTGCTTTTAACTGAGATGTTTTAAATTTTATTAATTTTTGTATGAGTGTAAAAGCTAAAAAAAAAAATATATTATAAAAATATGTACCTAAACTTGTATGTACGGAAAACATTTTGGATATACGGAAAAATAAAAAAAGTTTGACTAACTAAAAGTTAAAAAATATCCGGAATTCCGGAAATATCCGAAAAAAGATAATCCCTGTATTAAACATCAAACATTAAGAAAATATTAATTGTAAAAGATATGGATTCTATGAAAAAAAAAAAGATCTATGATCTATGAAAAAAAAAAAACGAAAATTTGGAGGAAAAAAAATTATTTGTAAAGGATTGGCTCAACTATGAAATAAACAATGAAAATTAAAACAAACAAACAAACAAAAAAAACAGTAAAAGATGGTCATAAGATTTATAAAATATAGGATGAAAATTTGAAAGAAAAATTAGGTCATGCCTTTTTTATTTAATTTTTATGGTTTAAAAAATGTTTTGTTAGGTTTAATTTACTTAAAACTTATTTTCTAAAGTTTATTTATGAAATAAACATAACTTGTTTCTGCACTTAGAGATTCCTTAAAACTGGCAACAGAAGCAGCAAGCAACGTGAATTCTCGTGAAAAAAGGATTTATAAAAGGACAAGAAATTTGGTGTTTAATAATCGGTCAAAAAAAGTTTTAATCTTAACGATAAAGAAATTAAAATTTGTTAAAAGATTTTTTTTTTAATATTGTTAGATTTAATATTAAAAAAAAATTTTTCATTAAAATCTTTTAAAATTAATTTGAATTTATGTATACGTAAATAAATACGTTAGTTTTTAGAATCTAAATCTTTTTTTAAATTTTTTAAAGAGTCATCTAATAATCCAAAATCGCTTCATGTTATGATAATATTTATGTTAATATTTGCTTAAAATCTAATAATTATTATTTAATATAGAATAAAAATTTATGAGTATAAATTATGAAATTGTATTTATCAAATTTATATATATATATATATATATATTAAATTTGTCATTTGTTAGATAAAAAAAATCATATTTAAAAAAATAAAAGAAAACAATACCATTTGCGTAAAAACATCAACTACTCCAGTGTATTGGCCTATTGGAGCTAAAATAACAATTAAATATTGAGCTACATATACAGTAGGGTCACACAACAGTTAAAAATTAAATTATTTTCAGAGAATTATTATCACTGACGTTTTATTGATGCAAAAAAATATATTTTATAATAATATGTATTTATTAATAAATGCTAGCAAAATAAAAAATAGTTTATCTTTATATCAATATAGTTTAAAATCTAATTTAAGATTTGAAAAGTAGAAAACTGAAAACCTGTTTGAAAACGAGATTTTAATGTATCAGGACCAATTGCAACAATCCAATTTAATATACCAGCACAACCTACATAAACACAAAAAAATATTTAACTATGATTTTGTTTATTTAAATTATTCAATATTTTATATTACTATTTAATCAAATTAAAAACTAAATTAACAAAAGGTTAATAAGACATAGAGTAAAATGGGGTCACATGGAATAGTTAAGAATTTTAATTATTAATTTTTTACAGAAAAAAGATTTTTCCTTTTTTTTTTAAAGTTGTAGAGAGTATTGAGCTGTATTTAAATATATAAAATTTTAACAATTTTTTTGTAAAGTTTTTTATGAAACTTTTATTCCATTCTACACTGACATTCAGGGAGAATGAAATACGCAAGTATAAGTGTAATTAAAACAATACTTTATTAAAAAAACAAAAAAGCAATCAATAATAACAATTGAAAAAATCAATCAAATAAAATAAACTTTTTTATTCTTGTGATGAGGTTGAGCCGTTTAGAGGTACTAAGGTACTGACATGCATACCAAAGCCAAACCTTGCAATTTGAATTTTGACACTGGTAACTTTCTATAATTTGACTTGGCCCAAAACTTTTCGGCACTTTTTACGCTTGAATTGGTTTGTAACTAATATTTTCGTTAGACTTGTTGCTTGGTTTATTTGCTGTTCTCCATTAGAGCTAAGTTTATGTTGTTTTTTAGCTTGCTTTGCTGCTTTTTTGCTCTCAGCATTTTTCAACCTTTCAAGTATTTCAAGTTTGTTAAGACACTCCCCTTCGAATCTTGGCACATCTACATTTTTTCTTTTTTTTGTGTCAACATGTTGGATACGAAATATTTCTTGCAAAGCTGATCAAGTGATTGGGCTGATTGCAGTTGTTTTGCAACCTCTTTTTGAATTTCCTTTTGAATAGCCGAAGTTACTACAATATTGAAGGTTGTTTGCAGACAAGGTGAATTTTGAGATGACTTTGGAGCTGATGCTATGCAACATATGCTGATGCTAGATGTTGTTAGTTTAGATTCAGAGGGCAGTGGATGAGGTAGTGTAGTTCCTGATGCTAGATTTGGTGATGGCACTATCATGGATTCTGGTTGTTGAGATGATGAAGGCTCAGGTTCAGATCTAAGTGTTTCAAATGTATTAGAAATTGGCAACTTTGACTGATCGATTTTATCAATGTTGAGTGGTAACAAGCCAGTATTCTGAAACCCAATGACTATCTGGGTACGTGTAAAAACTTCACCAGAGCTTAAAAGTTTTTTTTGCAGGTGACTGAAACATTCTTTTGATAAGTTGCTAAACTTTGTCTCTGCATAAAACTGTTGAAGTAATTTGCGTCAAACTCTTATGACATGGTAATAAACACCAACATCTAGTGGCTGTTGAATGTGCAACGAGTGAGCTGGTAAGCAAACTAACAAGAAAGTAACTAGCGAATTTCATTCATTTATTAGAACCATTTTATAAAAGCAGTAAGTAAAAGTCATTTAACTTCAGTTAGAAAAATTTGTTCATTAGAATTTATACAAAAAATTTATAGCAGATTTATTGGTGACTTGAGACCTAATAAAAGAAACAAGCTATTGCTTCGTACTTATTTATTTACCTCGCAACACTCATTTTCCGTTTTTAACTCATAACTTTTTTTCCTCAATAGAAAATTTAATTTTGAAAAAAGATTCTTGATCAGCATAAAAAGTTGTACCAATAAACATTTTAAGTTCAATGATACCGAATTGAATTTCCGAGAGTTTTAATATCCCTTTTCAAACAAATAAAAAAAATCTAATTATGCATTCGAAAACTTATAAATTTATAACATAATTTTTTTATTAAAAATAAAATTTCATACAATCTTACTCAGAAAAATATTCTCTACAATATAATCAATAAATATTTACAAAAAAATTATTCCAAAGTTAATTAAAAGCGAAAGAATAAACATTATTATAACTATTTCCTTCTATTTCATTTTACTTTTATATATTTATAAATTTCATTTTCATTTTACTCTATATATTTATAAATCTTGAGAATATTTTTTACAAAATACAAAAGTTTTTTTTAGCATTTTTAAAAACACAATTCGGATGACACAAACACAATCATTGAATAGAGTGCCAAAAATACAATTATCTCTTTAGTGCAATAAAAGAGTTGTGTTATGGTTAATGATTGTGTTCAGTTGATCAAGATTTTCAACAATAGTGAAAGCTTATGCTTTTTTTTTTTATTATTTACCTTTTTTGACATTTTTGACCCATGTGTGCCACCCTTCAACATTATTTATTACTTTTTTAAAATTATTAACAAATTATAACCCAATATACTTTTTAAAAATTATTAATAAATTATTGTTAAAAAATACTATTAGTTGTGTTTGATGCTAAATCTATTTTTTTTTTCCTCATGCCTACTTCTTTTGTAAAAATAGTTAAACAAGAACAAATCCTATCTTTTCTTCTTTTTGGTTGTTTTTCCAACCAGTTCTTTAACTAGTTTAATGGCCCTCTCTGATGAGTCATTGAGCGCATCAAGGAATTAAATATTAATTTCAAATTCAATATAAAAATAGTTGAACTTTCAGAACTGTGAAGGGATCTTAAGCCATTGCAACTCACTCTTTCCATGTCGCATCTTATCAAAGATAAGCCAAGATTGCTCAGTTACTAGAGATGGAGAGCACTAAGAGATGGAAAGTGATCTTGTGCAAAATCTAGAGAATGAAGAAGCTCTTTATTTACCAAAACACATTCAAGTGGATATATTTAAGGTTTTGCAGGAAGTATACTGTTTTATGCTTTGGCAATATCTTCTCTGTTCGGGCAATGTTCATCTGCTAAAGTAAGCACAACTAAGACAGGATCAAGAGTGCCAGCTGTGCCTGCCAAACGATTTTATAGCTGAAGTAGCTGCATAAAGATTTATATCCATGAACCTCTTTATCTACCACAGCGTTTTCGTGTCTTACAAAATATTTTAACAAAATTAGATTAATTCATCAATCAAACAATAAACAAATCTTTACTAATCTGTTTTCTTATTTTTTCTAATTATCTTTTACTTGAAATGGAGCAGCAGTTGCAGATACTGCTCGAAGGAACCACTGAGTGTTAGATGCTACAAACATAGCCAAATCTCTTTTATATTTTCTAAGATAGATAATTTGATTATGGTAGTAATAATAAAATAAATATTTAAAAGTATATATTTTTTAAAAGTACAAAAATTTCTTTTTAAAAATACATTCAAAAAAGAATTTGAATTTATTTTTAAAAATTTTGGGTATTACCCAGCTTAAGATGTTATCAACAATTTCAATATCTGCAACTGTGTTGCTAGGTATTGAAATTGTTATATTTTTATACTTTTTTATTATAATAAATTTAATTTATTAAATATAAAGCGCTCAAGCGAATAAAATGATAATAAAATAATCTTAGATGATACAAAAACCAACACCCATCACTTACCCCCTATGACTAAAGTTGCCATCAATTTTGTGAAAACCATTAAAAAATAATTTCTGATCTATCGATTAATTAGAAAAGTGCATTAATTTATTGAATATAAAATACTTTTCAATAATATAATCAAACTATGTATTTAGAACAGGTTTTGGTAAATAAATGGGAGAAAGAAAATCTAAATTCCTTTTCACTTTCCCTTTTCTGTGAACTATTTAACCCATAAAATTGGCTGAAAGGGAACAAAAAAATTAACAAAGTTCTTGTTATCTGAGGTTCAGAAAATTTTAATAGTAATCAGTTAGACTATTTTAAATGACCAAATAAAACAATTTGAGATAACAAAAGTTCAAGTTGACTGGTGTTCAACTTACCATGAATTAACTGTATATATATATATATTAGGGTGGTTCCAATTAAGGTGAAAAATTTTTTTAAACTAGAGTGGAAGCTTATAAGGTGCGCAGACCCTTGTTTTATATGTGTTTTTTTTTTATTAAAAAAAAGTTTAAGAGTGGCACATAGCCCCAAAGTACTTTTTTTTTTTATAACTTTTTTTAACATTTTTTAATATATGTGTGCCACCCTTCAACATAATTAAATTAAATTTTTATTCTATATTTATTCTCACAATATTAAAAAAAAAGACACTATATATATATATATATATATATATATATATATATATATATATATATATATATATATATATATATATATATATATATATATATATATATATACTGTGTTGTGGCCAGCGTTTTCAGCTTAAAAAACCTAAATATATAACCTAAAAAACCAGCTTATATATATATATATATATATGTATATATATATATATATATATATATATATATATATATATATTATAAATTTTTTTTTAATTTAAAAAGATATATATATATATATATCTTTTTAAATTTAAAAAAAATAAAATTGTACACAAAGCTGTTTCCATGAAAGCAGTGTGATTTTATTGTATCTGCTGTTTTAATAAGATTTAAACAAAGCTTAAACCTGGGTGAAATGGTTCTTGCATTATACTCAATGAAGTTTGTTTTTAGAATTAAAAAGAAGTATTTAAACTTATATTATTATATTTCATTTAAATGAAATAAAAAGTAAAATAAAAATTTATGCCAAAAATTCTTAGTAAAATAAGAAATAGAGGCAAAGAAATATTCTTAGTTAAAAAAAAACTAGAAAGACACTATTATCTATTATCAAGGATAGAGAGACCTTTTTAATAGAATCTAAAAAGATATTTTGGTTGGGCGTGACATAAAAACTATGATTGATGAAATAACAATAAATAGAAAATAACAAAAGAAACTAAATGTATGGACATTTTGTTTTTGAAAATGCATAAGACAAAAAGACATGGTTATGTAGGGTGTTCCAATATTAGCTTTATATATATATATATATATATATATATATATATATATATATATATATATATATATATATATATATATATATATATATATATATATATATATATATATATATATATATATATATATATATATATATTAAACTAATTACAAAAAAGTACCTACATACCTCCAGCTGCTAGCGTGCGTAATACACTCAGTTTATCTCTATAAAAAAAATACTTTGATTTGAAAAAAAAGCATTTATACATATAAATATTTATGAAAAAATGTTTAATTATGTATGTAAAAACTAGATAAAAAAAATATATTTAAAAAAGAGCCTTTACTTTTGCAAAAAACACCCTTGTTACAACTAAAGCACCCCTATTAATAAGGTGCACTAAAATGATCTTTATCTTTCAAATAAATTTTAAAAATAGTAATTTAAAGAGATCCCCAACTGCCAAAACAAGTTGTGTTCATATTAAAGATGTTTAAAAAAAACATTAGGGCTAAATTTTTTTGATTAAAACTATATAATGAATGCACACTATTTAATCTAAAATTCACATTTTAGTTGAAGCTTGTCGTCTCCATTTTTTTATGGTTCTCGGAGTCTGTATAACGTAGCTACAATCTGCAGACTTGATAATTTATTCTGTGTGTATTTAATTCATAACAGTTTTGGTATATGACATCATCGTATAAATTTTTTCTTTTAAGATGTCGTATTATTTTTTTGCCACAATCACCAAATCATGTTAATTGTATAACTTTTTACTCAATTCCAAAAAAAAGTTAAAAATTAAATTCATAAAATTTATAAAAATTTAATATATAAAAAATATTTACAGTAAAACGTACTGGTTTAAACTAAATATAAACTAGATACTAAAGAAAAAATTTGACTAAAGCGTATAAATTAATTTAAAGTATAAACTGAATAAAAAACGAGTAACTTAAATAAAACATATAAACTGAACTAAGTAAAAAATAAATATTAAACAAATTATTTTACTAATAACTGTACAAATCAAACTAAATTAAAGTTAAAACAAATATTTGAACTAAAGTATGCAAAAAATAGTTATAATATAAATATAAAAACGAAGAACCCCATTAAATTGTTTGCTACCAGCTGAACAAAAATCTTTTTGTAGCATCGGTACATTTTTTTGAATAACATTTGAATAGCATAAAATTGACAATTGATTAAAATTTGGTAATAATAAAGTTTTTAACAAGCATCATTTAACAATAAGAAATGCAAAGTGCTTAGAACCATTGTTTTCATAAGTAGTAACTAAAACATTAAGTCTGAAACAAACCTCGTTTAATAAATAAAAAGAATATTTTTTCTTCAAAATACTTTGGTAATTACTTAACTAAATACTTAACACTTCTACAAATTTTAGTTGTTACAAATTTTACAAAAATAAGTTTTACAAATGTTTATGCTGTTTTATTTTATAACTAAATTTAAAGAAGATTTTTTTATGAAGAATTATTCAAGATATTTTAACTTTGTGATAACATTTTTATAACTATAATACAGCTCTTATTTTTTCTTGATTGTGTAGAGAATTAATTAAACCTTTCGAACAAACAAATTCTATGTGTCTAGAATGGAAATTTATGTACAAAACAAGATAAATTGTAAAGTATACTCAAAAGCCACTACCAGAGGTAGTGAAAGAGTTAAATCATAACTAAATGTAATTCTAATAATCACAAAATATGTATAATTGTGTCATGATTTTGGATAGCTTCTAAAATAAAGTAATGATAAAGCAAGTAAAAAAAAATTATATATATATATATATATATATATATATATATATATATATATATATATATATATATATATATATATATATATATATATATATATATATATATATACAGGCCTTGCGATAAAGCGTCGGGCGATGTGAATTTTACGTCGTCCAAGGGCGATTTTGCGTGTAGCTAGGGCTATTTGCGTCGAGCAAAAAATTTTTTGTTTGAGTATATTTAAAGATATTTTTGAGCGGAATTTTAATGAAGTAATTTACGATTATTTTAACATTTAATAAAGTATTTTAAAAACCGCACGCAGTTGAAATAAAAGTTTGAATTTAAAAAAATTAAATATGCTCATTATTTGGAAGTAGAAAAAATTTAAAAATTAAAAAAAAAGTTTAAATCTTTTAAGCTAACATTTTAATAAAATTATTCAGCAATAGCAACGTTGTCGATAAAATTGAACAAAAATACTTTCTTTTAGTTTTAGATTTTAAACTTAAATAATTATTTTACAGGGGTTTGATAGGTTTTAAAATTATTCCATAGATTTAAAAATATTTATTAACTGTTAGACGTATTTAAAGTATTTAAGAGTGATTTCGAGGAAACATTTTAAAAATTGGTGAGGGCAAATAAAAAAAAAAAAAAGATTAATATCAAAACGTATTCTACTTGATTCAATAAAAAAGTACAGTTATTAAAATTTTTGTAAAAAGTAACTCAAAAAAATTACTTAAATAATAACGATCGCTTTTATGTTAAAAGTTACCGAAACTTATCGAAGCGTGCTCAAAAACAGCTGCTGAAAAATAGAACGTCGATAGTTTTTCGAATAATTTTTAAGAATAATTTTTAAGAATAATTTTTTCGCTGAAATATTTCTTTTATACCTATAAGATTTTTATTCTAACATTTTATTTTATTTTAATAGAAATAAAATTCCTTGTTAACATTAAAAATCTATTCAAAACGTTCGTTTAAGTTTTTTATTAATACGAGTGATTGTGCTTATCAACCGCTTTATGAAAATAAATAAAAATAAATAAATATTATATAAAATCGCTTGTAAAAATATTAGCTATTGCACAGTTTTTAATCGTACAATATTAAAATTTCCAGTTTATTACTCGCTGACTTTTTAAAAAGAAAAAATAATTATTTGAAAAACTTTAAATTACATATTTAAGAAAAAAAAATCAAATATTAGCATATTTTATAATCTTTTTTAAATTTAAGTTATAATGTTTTTTATTCGTTTAGTATAGACAAAACGTGACAAACGTCGAGAAAATAAACAAATGTTTTTACATTTTAAAAAACGAAACATTCCAAAACATTTTTAAATAATAACATTTCTACATAAACGATTTAAAGTAGTTTTGCGGTAATTAAATAAATTGGTGCAGTTAATGTCGATAAATATGAAAAGCAAATAAAAAGAATTTAATGACGTCAAAAATCGCGTCGTGCTTATGCGTCGCGCAGTTCTTATTCATCGCAAGGCCTGTATATAATTGTATAATTTTTAATAAATCACAAATATTTTTTGTGATTTAGTAAAAAATTAAACAAATATTTGATTTTCTGATTGTCGTAGAAAAAAACTTATATCTTAAAAAAAAAAAAAACGCTATTTTGAAAAGATATTTTGATGACATCATATACCAAAACTGTTATGAATTAACACGCATGGAATAAATTATCAAGTCTAACATTATACAGACCCCGAGAACCAAAAAAATGGAGAAGGCAAGCTTCGACTAAAATGATAATTTTAATTTTCTTGGTATGCATTCATTATTTAGTTTCAATCAAAAAAATTTAGCCCAAACGTTTTTTTTTAACATTTTCTTTAATATGAACACAACTTGTCTCAGCAGTTGGGGATCCCTTAAAGAAAGTTTATACTTGTTTTTGAAAAAAAAGGTATACTTTAAACAACAAAAAAAACAGAAACAGGGAAGGGGCAGGTGAAATTCCTTAGCTGTAGTGAAAGCAACTTGGGAAAAAAAAAATCTTTTAATAGTGGGTAATAATAAGAAGATTTTCTAAACTTTTAATCAAGTAAATATTCGCACCATATGTCGCACCAATAAAAAAATTCTCAATCTTGATCTATAAAACAGATTAACATCAGGAAAAGCATAAAAAATTTATTTAACTGGTTCATGTCATATTTTAAATAAAAAACAACATTAGGAAAGCTTAAGCTAAAGTTGAAGCTACACAATTATAAAACCATTATTATTAAATTAAAAAAAAAATCTTTCTGATTAGATGCTGCTTAGAAATTTTATTTGCTAATTAGTGTAAGAAAATTTACTATAGTGAGTAAATTAAAATTTGAAATTTAAGAAAACTGAATCTAAAACATTTAAAGGTAAAAACGATTAAAAGAAAAAAAAATTACCTTTCTCCTTCAGGAGCAAGATATCTTAATAGCATTTCATATCCCATAAAATAAGCACCACTTGCAGGTACATCTGGAAGAAAAAAAAGAAGAAAAAATCATTTAAAAATTTGATTTCGAAACATCAAAATTACATCTAAATTGTTCTGCAGTAAGCCCATAAAAATTAATTAAAAAAATATTATACAGTACTTTCATAAAAACATATACAGTGCTTTAATAAAAATAGATATATGATTTTAAAGTATCATAAAAAAAGAAAACAATAAAAAAAATAATAAAAATGTAACTAATTTTTTATTATTTTTTAGTTCATGGGTTGAAAGTGTGTTTCCCATTTTTTTGGATGAAAGTGTTTCCTTTTTTTGGGTGGAAAGTATGTTTCCCTTTTGTTCTTGGACTGAAAGTGTGTTTCCTTTTTAGCATAATAAAAATATATATATATATTCAAATAAGAATATTCAAGAAACTTTAAAAACAATCTAGAACTGTCCAAAAGTAGTGATACAAGTATGAAAGCACAGGTCATTTAAATCAATCACAGGTCATTTAAATCAATCACAGGTCATTTAAATTAATCACAGGTGATTTAAACCAATCACAGGTGATTTGAACCAATTACAGGTGATTTAAACCAATCACAGGTGATTTAAACTAATCACAGGTGATTTAAACCAATCACAGGTGATTTAAACCAATCACAGGTGATTTGAACCAATCACAGGTGATTTGAACCAATCACAGGTGATTTAAACCAATCACAGGTGATTTGAACCAACCATAGGTCATTTGAACAAATATTTTAGTTTGTGTTAGTGGTGAATTAAGGAGTAATGAATTGTATTGGAAGAGCTATTATTATATTAAAATGACATCAAAAAGTTGTTTACATCCAACATATAAAACTTCATGATAAACTTAGTCATCTAGGCTTTACATGGGATACAAAAAGTTCACCTTTTGCCTCACTTAATAAATCAAACATTGATCACCAAATATCTAATTTCCGGACGGTAATCCAAACCTTAATTCAATCAGGAATCTGTTTTGCTCACCCAAACTCCATTGTCCAGTTATATAAAACTTTAGCTGTTCCAACACTAACGTATGGTCTTGAGCTGTGTGAACATAAAAAAATGTCACTTATCAACGTTTCAAAACAAAGCAAAAATTATATTCATACCTTTTTTTTTGAAGATATATCAATTATTATACAACAAAACAAGTTAAACTTATTTGTTCGCCTGATGAACAATAAAATGACAAATGATATTATTAAGTCGCAGCTGAAAAACAAAACAGTCACACAACCTTTTTTAGATGTATCAAAGGCTTGTGCAATAATCATGAATTAAATCTGGAGACAATAATGCAAAGTAAAAAAAAAAAAAAAATCATCGGCCTCAAAAATTTAATTCCTGATATGGATCTTCAAACTCTAAAAAATAAAATATGCATTTGGTTTTGTTTATGGACAATTTATAAAAACAAAATTGAAAAAGAATTCCTTGCTTGAGCTGTCTGTTTCATCTTCCACTAAAAGGGATCAGTCATTTTAAAGTAAAAAAAAAGAAAATAGTAGAAAATAGTTTGATTCTGATTTTATACCTTCTGCATATGTTCAACTTGCTACTCCAACAGTAGTTAGCACTCTTCTTAATAGGTCTACTTTAGAATTTGAGTCTTCCTTTGAGATCTAAGTATAGAAAAGTTGCTGAAATGGACTAATACTTAGATAGACATTTATTTTTGCAACTAAAATTAGCCAAAATAGCAGAAAAATTGATGGATATTATATCTTCATCTTATGTCTACTGATTAAACTTTAGCACTTATTTTGGATTGTAATTTGACAAAGACATTTTTTTAACTGATAAAAAATAAAACTGATGAAAAGGAATGCAATCTTTACCCAGCATACAATAATGTTAAAGTGGCAAAAGTCCAATGCTATCTTATAAACATTACTATCCTATAAACAGACTACAATGCTATCCTATAAACAAACCGACTACAATGCTATAATATAAACCAACTGACTACAATGCTATCCTATAAATAATACTATCCTATAAACAAACTGACTACACTGCTATTGTTCCACTTTTCACTGGATCACACTACAACAAGACTTTTGGAGGCACGAGTAATGTTATAAATGCCAATGAGTTAATAGAGTAACTCAAATACACAAAGCTGGTTTTGATGGTTCAAATGGACAGAGTATCTACAAAAAAATATGAAATGAAGAATGAAGTCACTGTTTATTACATGCTTTGTGCCTTTAGAGTTCTTATCTATCATCAATTATAAAAAGATTAATCTTTGGAGAAATTTTAAACCATCATCTACTTTGTATTATCAGCCTTTGCAACTTAAATTTGTAAAGGAAACTGAAGAAACTCTTCTTTATGAGAAAATGACTTAAAAAAAAAGGTTAAACAGCAAACTCAAACAAGCTGTGTCCAACTTAATGGTAAGTCTATTGATGTTGATCATATGATTGAAATTACTGATGGTAAAGCCCATATGACATTATCAGATGTAGTGGCTGCACATATGTCTACATAATAATTAAGGTTTATACATTGCATTTAAGTTATTTATGGCACTATTTTATGTTTAAATACAAAATTGAAATACTAAAGCAAAAAAAATGACATTCTTAAAACAATCAGCATTGATGTTAATGCTAATTCATTGTTGTACCCTTATCAAGCACCATATTTTTGTGACTTGTCTTGATAAATTTGAACACAGAAAACATTTTTAATTTAACACTTAAAAGATCAACAGAATGCAGAAGCTTACTTAGAAGAACAAGGCAAGCGTTTCTATTAAGATATATTGGACTTTGAATGATGACATCAAGAACAGGCCCCCATCACAAGGATTGTCTCCTACTATTAAAACATGATGGGGGACTGAGAAGACATTTAGGAGCTATTTAGTGAAAGTGATTTACAGTACACTCACAAATCTGGAAAATCAACTAATTTCTGAATCTTTTTGATTTTTTGCTGTTTGTATTTATTTAATTGTCTTTTTTTCAATCTTTAGACATAAGCAATTGAAATTTGAAACAATTTAAATGCAAGGACAAAAATTGTGTTACATAGAATAATTGTTTTCAATAAACTTTTGCATTATGTTACCACACTAAAACATACAACTAATGTTTCTTTTTGAAAACTACAGATCTTTTTCGTATTTTTCAACAAAATAATTCTAAAACTTTTTTCTAAATCTTATATTATTGCTAACTTATAATTAACTAAAATTTAATTATGTGAGCTTGTTTAACAAGGTTCGCATTTCAAAGTTTAGGATGATTAGTTTTTAGTATTTTGAAAGTGATTTTTGTTTTCTATTTTTTGTTAATCTCATTCTTTCAAATGATTATTACTTGAAATATTTATAAAATTGTGAAGAACCATGAAATAATTTATTGATGTCTCAACCCAAACCCTTAAGTGATGTAGCAGCACTCCTTTGCGTGTTTATGGCCGATAGCTTTAAGACATACATCAGTCAATATATGTCTTAAAGCTCTGCAGCTACCTATTTCAGTATAATATCAAACATGTGTATCTTATGTTGCATTCATGTGTGTATATATATATATATATATATATATATATATATATATATATATATATATATATATATATATATATATATATATACATTTATATATATATATATATATATATATATATATATATATATATATATATATATATATATATATATATATATATATATATATATATATATATATATATATATATGTATATGTGTATGTGTATGTGAACATTACCTCGCAGTAATGTAGCACCAGTTCCTTTGTAGATGCCGCGAAACAGACCCTCTTCTTTATAAACTTTTTTTGCACAGTCCCAAGCTCCATTGTACTTTGAATTTTTAGGATCACCAGATTGAATCTATAAGTAAAACAATTTGTATGTATTAAAACAACTTATATTTTTTAACAAGAAAAATTGTGAACTCAATTCCTTCATATTTAATTATTGATTCATTAAACATTGTTTATATTCATTATTACACTCAATTTTTTGAATTTGATAATAAATTTTAAAAAAATAATTAAATCTACCTGTAATAGACATTTAATCCTTTCTCCTGGTGTCATTATAACTGTGGTGAAAACACCTGACAGTAAACCAGCATTAAATATTTGCGGAAGGCTAAATAAAAAAATATATAAATCTAAAATATTTTTTAAACTTTTAAAATATAAATAAAGTTTTACATAATTTGAATACGAAAGCCATTGTTAAAAATGACAATAAACTCTTTGAATAGGTTTATTTTTATTTTTAACTGCATTTAACTGTTTATTTAAATTATATTCAGTATTTCTATTTTTCTAACTGCACTAGATGGCCTAAACAATCATCTAATGGGTGGTTAAGAGGTTTAATATAAACAATTTTGCAAAAAAAGATTAAAAAAAAAAAAAAAAAAACATAAAACACCACTTAACAAAAAAGATTAGCATCAATTAAAAATAAATAGAAATAATTTTTAAATAAACATCAGGGGTCAATGTTATAAAACTTTTTATCAGGGTAAAATACTACCGGCGATAAATTTTACCGACATAAATGATTTTTTTCAATGTTATAAAACATTTTTAAAAATTACAGACAACAAATTTCTACAGCCGAAACATTTAAAGTCGATGTTCCAGAGGAGCAAACTACGGAAATTTTTGTTGAAGATCCAAAGATATGAATATTTAGTTGTAGAAACCTGTGGTTTAGAACTTTTCAAATTACTTACCTTGAGTTGAAATCTAATTACAAGCTCATTTTTTTAATTAAGTGCACATTTCTTGTTAAATTTTAATTTCAAGCGATTTCATTGTCAATATTTTTCTACTGAATTTTTCATGTAAGAATCGTAACTCATTCTCAAAATTTAAAACTGCTCTCATTAACTATTTTTTAGAAAAATATTGCTTGTAAATCTTATACTTTTTTTTAATTTATTATTTACAATTCTGAGCTTCTATTCATCTTTTTTTTTTTTCTTTTTCTTTTCTGTTGTGTTTTATTATTTTTTATTAAATTTATTAAACTTAACAAAAAACATTAAAACACAACAGAAAAGAGGAAAAAAATTAGATAAATAGAAGCTCTAAGTTAGGGTTATAAATAATAAGTTGAAGAAAAGTATAAGATTTACAAGCAATATTTTTCTAAAAAATAGTTTAACTTAAAAAATATAAATAATCAGTTATTTATTATTTTAATCTTTCTAAAACTGAAGTATTTTCTCTTCATCACTATAATTCTTAACATTATTATTACTATACTTTATCATTATAAATATTATTTCTGTTGTTAATATTATAATTTTTTTTTATATTACTGTTTTTGTTTTATGATTGATGTTATTATTATTGTTGATATTATTTTTACTGTTATTGTTATTATTATTATTAATATAGTACAATTATACTTTTTACAATCTTTTCTATTACTTTTCATCACTGTTGTTACAGCCATTATTTTTATTTACTCCTACTTGTATTATAATTATTATTACAAACACATCAAAATATTAAAATGATGCTAATAATATTAGCAACATTTTATTATTATTGAATTTTACAGGTGTTTACTTCATATTAGTGTTCATTACTATTTGTAAATAACCTTGTTTTAACAACTTTATTCAGAATATATTTGATTTGATTTAATTTGATCACTAAAATTTTTGAAAGTAAGTGAAAAACAATGAGGCAAAAGCAACAATATATATATATATATATATATATATATATATATATATATATATATATATATATATATATATATGTATATATATATACAGGCTTGGTCGGGAAGCGGGAGCGATCGCTCTCGAATACTGACCACGGAAATTATATTTAGATGCGTAAAACTGGCCAGGTTTTTTAGTCGTTTTGAGAACATTTAAGTTTATGTACGAAACAAAGAATTTTTGTTTTACGGACATACATGGAAACATAAAAAACTTGAATGTTCTCGAAACATCATTGTGCGAAAGAATAAAAAGAATATTTGCGAACACTAAAAACCCGCCAAATTAACAAACAAACTTATTCTATTGGTTCAAAAAATACGCTGATTAAGCGAACTAAAGTTTCAGAGTATTCTGCTAAAATGTTTTTTAAATTGTATTATTCACGAAGCATTGTTTTAAGAATATATATTATTTGTTTACGAAAATAAATGTTTTAAATATATATTAATTAAATTGTTAAAGTTTTAAAAGTTTATTATAAATCATAGATTTTATGAGTATATTTTTATTTTTTATTTTAAAAGAGATTGTATTCTTTATGCAAATGTAATTTTGTGTATTTGTTTTTTATGGTAACGTATCTTTTAAAGCAATTTTATGATTTAAACAAAGACTTACATAAATAATTGCGTTTTCAATGAAGTTATAATCGTTAAAGTTAAAACTAATTATGTAACAAACATATAAGAAGTTTATATGTTTGTTACATAAACAACGCATACAAAGTAACTCGCGGATGAACAAGCATCGCGCCTGAGGTCACGACAGAACACAAATATATAATAGCAAATAAATAGATATAAAGAAAAGTTTCTAGATATTGGTTTACTAACTCTAATTATTTTCGCTCAAGTTGCCATTCTTAAAACTCAATATTCTTTTTTCTGCTTTAAATACTAATTAAAATTAAAAAGCCCACTCACTAAACATCATTACCGATATTGTGAAGCAGTTTCGCTTCCTGGTCATTAAGTATTTTTAACCTTTTTAGTTGATTT